AAGTTAATTAAAATTTTGCATATTTACGGAGGAAACTAAATATTGTTCTAAATTTGTTGCGGTAAAATTAGTTCGTTTTTCTGTAAGAATTCCTCTCAACCTAGAAAATGATCTCTCGGTATCGCAAGACGTTATTGGGGCATATTTGTAAATACTAAAGTCAGGCACCACTGCATCAGCAATATTTTCCCCTTCAATTAACGCTTTTATTTGTACAAGATTTTCATATCCAGGATTTTTTTGTAAAGTTTGTCTTAGCTTGTCACTAGCTAATTTTCCCACAATACCTGGAGTATTTTTTAGAGAATTTTCCACTCTATTCACTTCAATAGTTTCAACAAGTGGCAGGCCAACTGTTTCTAATTGTGTTATGCTGCTTACTAAAATTTCAAAGTGAGTTTTAATATAAAATAAGTCATTTTCAATGTGGGTTGATTAAAATAATGTTGTGCTTTTGCTATGGCTTGTGAATCTTTAGAACTAAAAGACAGTACAACCTTAAAAATGAATTTAATAGCATCACAATTAAAATATTTGTATATTTAAAATAATTTTACCTCTTTTAGTCTGTCGTAGTGAGTTGCATAAAAAAGCAGCATTTAACCAGGTTCCCCAGCGTGTGACAATAGGTTCAGGTGGTAATGGAATATCAGGAAGTGCTTCTTTGAATACTTGCACCCTTAATGGGGCTTTTATAAAAACTTTTTTTACGTTTGCAATCAGCCCATTTACATTCTCATATTGGCTTCTAATTTTCTCACATACAAGATGAATAGCATGAGCTTAAGCATGTTACATGAATTAGATTTGGGTAGAAAATTTTTAAATTTTGTCCACATTTAACCATGTATGACGCTCCATCTGTTGTTAGTAGACCTACCCTGTCATGTTTTATTCCATTCGGCCATAAAATTCCTAATGGTTTTCAATAAAGTTGTTTAAAAAATGATTTTATGGTATCCTTACCAAGCGATTCATTGATAAAACGTGCAATGGAGAGATTATTAGTTTTCTCCAAATGTTTTGAAGCTAATAGGTAAGGAACTCCCGGTTCTTCAACTGACAATTTCCCACAAATTATATTCGCAGTATAACGACCAGTCAGATCTGTTGTTTCGTCTACAGACAACCAAATATGAGAGTCTCCAATTTTAGTTCTTATATTTTCAATAACCTATTAAATTAAAATGCATTATTTTTTTTCCTGTTAGGTTTCAATTCTACCTTACATCATTATAGCATTTCGGTAAATAATTTTCTCGTAATGTGGATTCGTCAGGTATTTTATGGCCGCAATATTTTTCTAAAAATTCTGTAAAAGTTTGACATTTTAACGTATGCCATTCAATATTGGCTGCTACAAATGCATTACACATATCAGAGTAAAACTGAGTATTATTATTTTGTTGGTCAAGTCCAGTGAGAAGCATTTGACGCAAAGGTTTCTTTAATAACATTTTATGCTCGGCCAGTTTTTCATGTTGTTCCAAATGAGAAACTCTGTTACATGTAAACTGAAAAAAATTATTGAAGTTAAAAATAATTGTTAAATATTTATTTTAAACTTACTGTTTTAATGCATACTTTGCAAAATAATTTGGTTTCTGAGTTGTCCACAACTTGATACACATCCTTGTTTTGAACATGTGGTGTAACCATTTTTCAACTTTTTTCTTAAATGTTTCTTTTATCTTTGGCATATTTTATTTGTTCACAAGAGTTTTTTGCGTTGTTACACAGTTTAAAAAGCAAAAAACTTAGAAAAATAACAAAATATCTTGTATGAAATTAGGTTAGGTAACACGTGCTTTAGGGAAATAAACTTTTGACATTTGACAACAGTTAAATGTCAATTCGTCGCTCGAACGAAACTTATTGGCTGATAGTTATTTGTATCACAAGCCCAGAAACTGTCATTTTGGAACAACTAGCGCCGTTTGTGGACGGAGGACCAAAAAAAAAACAATAATTTTTTTTGAATTAGGAAGGTTAAACACAATTTTAGGATGTTTAAAACATATTTAGAATACAACAAGTCAATTTAGGAATTTAGGAAAAATAAAAGTAGTGCCATTTATTTACATTTTTAACATAACGGATTTATTTCGAGTTTCAAGAAAAGCCCTTAAAAATTGCGGTTTAGGGAAGTTTCCTGAGATCCGGTCTCCACTGATGACTATACTAGCGATGAGGAAGAAGATGATAAACTCATTATTAAAGAAATTGGAAGTAATGATGAAACACAAGATAGTACAGTTGGAGACAAAATACTTTAGTCGTCAATGTCACTTGCGTGACATTAACTTGTAAAGCTTGCTTTAGGACTGTTAACCTTATTTTTAGCTACTGTCAATCCTAGTTGACAAGTTGTATGTACATATTTTTGTTAGGAAAATATAATAGCTGTCATTAATTTGAAATTGTCATTCATTTTAACGTTAAAGCTTGAATTACATTAGAGTGTCAGAAAAGTGACGACCAAAGTATTTTGTCTCCAACTGTACCTCAAAGCAATAAAACAATGTTTTAAGGTAAAATCAAGGTAAAATGTAATTTTTATTAATAAATAAAATACATTTGAATTACAAGCTTATTTTTTTATTTTACATACCTTAATTACATTTATTTTACATTTAAGTAATATCTTTTTTATCTATCCAAGAATTGTGTTTTGAACTAAAACCTAACCACTTAACAGAAACTTTATTTTTATTTCTTTTTAAAATCTTCTCAATCAAATAAACATCTGAATATTTAACTTTTTGTAATTGCTGAAAACAAAAGCATCCTTGGATATCTTTATTATCAAAGTCTTTTAGTAAATATGTTATTGGATTAGTTAAAAGAACTTTTCTAATTGTAAAGATTTCAGTTGACCAATTTGGCATATACTTTTTATCGAAAACACCTCTAAGTTTTGAAATCCTAACATGATCACCAACGTGAAATTTTATTTGTTTTAAATTTGTAGGTTTAATATGATTATAAACAGTGTCTAAAAGATATTTTTCATGTTGCTTTCCAACTTGAGATGGTTTCATTCCTATAGTTCGATGTTTTGAATTATTGTATTTGTATACAATATCGTTTAATAAATCAATCTATCTATAATGACCATAATAATTGAATTCTTTCCACATTAGATTCTTTAGTGTGCGATTTACTCTTTCAACTATTGAAGCCTTCTTCTCACTGTACGTACTGTAGTGATTTACTTTATATTTTTTCATCAAATTTTTAAAGTTTGTATTAAAAAATTCTTTACCCATATCAGTTTGAAGATTTTGTGGTGTTTGTTGTTTGAATACTGTTTCCATGCTTTTAGAAACTTCACTTCCGGTTTTTGTCTTCAATGGAAACGCRCATACGTACTTTGAAAWACAYTTAATTACAACCAATATGTATTTATAARCTTTATTTTCTTTTGCATAAGGAATCATTTCAACTAAATCAGCTTGAAATAAATCGTTTAGTGATTTTAAAATTACTCTTCTCCTTTTGAAATTAATTCTTGCTGGTTTATGAATTTCATTTACTACTTGTCTTTTTGCTGGAGTCAAAACGGATACAACTTTTCTTCTTCTACTTTTCTTTGGAGGAGACATTGTTTTTTTTTCTTTATCTATTCAATTAAATTAGCTTCACGTAATTCTTCAATTATACTGATAATTTCATTATGATGATTTGAATTTCCTGCATTTTGTGATGCAATCAATAAACGTAATCGATCAACAAGTTCGTTTGGATCATCCCAATAAACGAAATCAATGGAATTGTTATTAACTTCTTTTACTAGAAGACCACTTCCACCAGTTGAATGTATTGACTTATTGCGTCCCAATACTAATGGTGCTACGATTTTTTTAACCTACTACCAGTGGTTCTTTTTTAAATAATAATTCATATAGACCTTGTGTACCTCGATAACGTTTATTATGCACAATTAAATCAGAATCATCGATATATAGTCGAGAATTTCCAATGTAAAATGATTCATTTTCTATATCATGTCTAACTCCATATTTATGATCAAAGGTATCTTCAGTATCAGTTAATAGATCGTGAATATATTTTCTTGGTAAAGGTTTATATTGTTCTAAATATTCTCTATATGCTATAGGACTGATGCCTGAAGTTTGTGGTGTTGTTGTTATCTCTGGTTCTTCTGCAACTTCTAATACATCATCATCAATAACATTTTCATCAATTTCATTATTATGTTACACACACAGTTTCAATTCCAAAACGCCTTTATTCAATTTTATTATTACACAATAAATAAGTCGCCCTTCGATATGACCCGTGCCACTCCTCGTTCCGACTGCCTCGCTCTCGCCTTCTGCGCCGCTCGCGTAACATCACGTGACGTCCCCCGATGCGTCACATGACTGAAGGTCGCGCCCAGAGTCCCGCCAGAATTTTGTGATGTAACAGTCGGCCATCCTGCAGCACTTTAGTGTCCTCACTAAAGAAAACAAACCACATTAGTACACCAGTCACCCTGTAAATAAATCACCCTGTAAATAAATCAATTAGATCCTGTCGATTGACTTCGCTATCATCATTGTCGACAGTTTCCCCTTTTTCACCTATTTCGCCCGTTTCGCCAATAGTAGTACTACGATATCGCCTAAGAGAATCCGCAGCAACCACCGCGTTGAATCTCTTATACCCTCTGACACCCCTTACTGATCTTATCCGGTACCGGTCATTGCCTAGGACTTTTATCACCCGATAAGGGCCGTCATACTTATTCACCAATTTATGGCTAACACCCTTCTCGCCTGTAGCCGCCTGTGCTTTACACCAAAGAACCAGATCACCTTTTCTGTATTCGGTTGCAACCTTCCGCCTTTTATCAAATCTGGCCTTCGCCCGCCCTTTGAATATTTTCGGCCGCCCGTTACCGCTTTTACGATATCATCGACTGTTTCGCCTGTCTCAGTCGTACCGCCTTTATTTCTTTCGCCTCTGACCGCCTGTCGTAAGTTTATTGGTTCTTAGTGAATTATCGCCTTTGTAACCACTCTTTCTGAATCGCCCGCATCGCCTCTTTCGTTGATCCCTCCTGTATCACCTGTTCCGCCTATGTCACCCGTTAAGTCGGCTATAGCACCACTCTTATGAGCAAACGTCAGCTGCGCCGGCGAAAACCGAGTGCTCTCGTTGATAGTCTGATTAAGACCCCAGACCACCTCCGGGAGCTTCTCGCACCAACGAGCCTCCGACTCAATACTAGTCTACGTGCACCGTGTCAAATGGAATCGCCCGTCGTTCAATAGGATGTAACATCCCTTCCTTTCGCCCGTAATCGCCTTTACCGAATGCACAGCTTAAACACGCATCTATATACTTTCGCACCTGTCGCCTCATACGTGGAAACCAATAGGTCTCTTTGATCAACGCCAAACATCGCTGAAACCCCGGGTGTCCAATATCATCATGATGTTTTCGCAGTAAACTGAATACCGCCGCCGATGGTACATACAACCGATCGCCATGTAAGGTTATACGGAATAACCGCCCATTTTTAACCTTAAAATTCGCCTTTATATCTCTATCCGCCTCACCAGTTGTTAAAGACGCCATTATTGCTTGTATCTTGTCATCCTGCAATTGTACAGTCGCGAACCAATGGTCTTCAGATAAGGTAAGCATTCCAGCATAGACAGGATTACGACTCAGAGCATCCACATGGAGCATTTTACTACCAGGCCGATAGTCCACTTCCATACTATACTCCTGAATCGCAAGCCACTATCTCGCTATTCGGGGTACCAGATCGCGCTTCAGGAGAGTCGCTCGAACTGATGCACAATCTGTCACCACCTTAAAATGGATCCCTATCAGATAGACTCGAAATCGTTTGATTGATTCGACAATCGCCAACGTCTCCAACTCATAGCTGTGATACGCCTGTTCAGCTTTTGTAGTCGCCCGACTGCAATAAGCCACTGGCTTCTTATCGACATTCGCCTGTTGTTGTATAAGAACGCCACCTATACCGAGTTTACTTGCAACTGTGTGCAGCTCCGTCACCGCCTTGGGATCGTAAATCGCCAATACTGGTCTATCAACAAGCAACGCCTTAAGCTTGTCAAAGGACTTTTGTTCCATGTCGCCCCAACGCCATCCAACGTTCTGTTTTGTAAGATCTGTCAACGGACGCGCCAATACCGCAAAATTGTTAATGAATTTTCCAAAGTAACTCGCCAATCCAACAAACTGCCGGACATTGTGCACATTCTGAGGAGTAGGAAAATTCACTACCGCCTGAATCTTACGCCTACCTGGTCGTACGCCATCAACCGAAATTTTGTGGCCCAAGTACTCCACTGTATCGTGCAGAAATGTACATTTTTCAACCTTTAATTTGATACCCGCCTGTCTGATCAACTCCAGGACTTGCTCCAACAGCTGTAGCCCGCCTTCAGCCGTCGCTGATGGAATCAGCAAGTCATCCATGTACGCCAAGATGTCCTCATGTCTCAACCGCCCTAATAACTTGTTCACCACTCTTTGAAATACCGCTGGTGCATTTGCTAACACGAAAGGTACACGCACGTACTCATAGTGTCCGTCGGGAGTGACAAACGCCGTTTTGTCTATTGAGTCGGGATGCATCGGTATTTGATGATAGCCCTGCGCCATGTCTAAAGTAGTGAAATAACGTTTGCCCGCCATTTTGTCCATTTCCTCGGTTATCATCGCCATTGGATACCGATCCTTCACCGTTGGCGCGTTCAACGCCCGATAATCTACGCACAGACGCCATTCGCCGTTCTTTTTCGGAATTAATACAATAGGGCTCGCGTAGTCTGACTCTGATTTCCTGATGACGCCCGAATCCAGCAGAGTTTGCACCTTTTGCCGTACTACCGCCCGTTCTGAGTACGATAACCGATATGGTCGATGATAGATGGGCATATCAGTTTTCAATCGAATTTTCATTTCACCCAAATGTGTTAACCCCAAATCGCTATCGTCCTTCGCGAAACAATCCGCCTTCTGCTTCAACAGTTCGAGTAACTGACGTTTGATCTCGCCCGACACGGGTCCAACTTGTCCCTCGCTTAGTTCGATAGAATTAGAAGTGCTTTTGCTCACCTGCAATACAGTAGTTACCGCCTCTTGCTCTGTGCACCTCTCCGCCCGTCCAATTATTCGTTTCGCCTTCCACCTCAACTTCCTCATGCCTAAGTTGGTGATTGGGACACTGTTATCTTCGCCTTGTGTTAACGTATAACTTGGAATCGCCACCATTGCCCCGTCGTCGTCAACCAGTTTGACGTCCACAACCACAGATCGTCCACGTGGAGCGTCTTCGATGTCGACCTTGACCATCTCCGTCTCGCCCGGATTGAGATACAAATCCTCCGCCAATCGGACCTTGGGTCGCCCATCATCATCTTCACAAATGTCTAAATTTGCAAAGAATTCGCCAATCTTCTCAGTCTCAGAGTCGCTCTTAATCAGAGTAGCTCGCCCATCTCTGATAACCACCACCAATCCGTTCGCCTTTAATGCTGGTTGCCCTAAGATTATATCAGCATTAGAAATGTCACAAAGAGTCGCCCATGCCTCTATTTTCAAACAAACATTGTCCATCTTGAGCTTAGTCGTTACAATCCCATGTGCTGCGCCTTTCACACCACCAAATCCTGTTAAAAACAATGTGTCGCATCTCATTGTTAGATTACATCGTTCAACACAGTCTTGCGAAATGAGATTGTATTCACTTCCGGTGTCGAGGTACACCTTTACTCTCGAACCGTTCGGCAACGTCGCCCAATGTTTGTATTTACTATCAAAAACTGTGCTCACCAGTCGGGTTTTTGGCCGCCCTCGTGTCTCGCCAGTCCTTTGGTTTCTTGGGTTCGCTCTTCGCAACCGCCTTTGGACAATTCGCCTTGGTGTGACCGCCTTCACCACACATGTGGCATCGTTCCATTTTCGCCTTCGGACAATTTCGACTGAAGTGCGACCCATACTCTTGACAATTGTAGCAACGAATTCGCCCCTCACTTGCTACACTTGTGGATAGGTTAGCCTGACCTCGCCCCTGGCTTCGACTAACCGTCTTTGTGGCACGAGCCAATCGATGTTCTGATTCCACCTTCACCACGTCGTCACCGTCAACACCCGATAGAAACCCATTGTACAATTCGTCAGGACTAGAGCATTTGTACGCCAATGCATTTGCTCTAAAGTTTGTGGGTAATCCTCTTACGATGCAAGAGACCGCCTTTTCGCCCGTAATGCCGCATCTCTCGCATAACGCCAGCTTGTCGTGATAATATTGTGTCATCGTCTCGCCCTGACACTTCCGTCTGTTGACCATTTCCTCAATCATGGCCCCAAACTCCTGTCGTCGAGGGAAAGCCGCCCGTAATTTTACTTTCCATTCGGTCCATGTAAGATCGTACGTTTCAAGCCGATTGAACCAGATGCGCGCCCGTCCGCCTAATCTCGCCTGCATACACGAAGATCTTCCCAAAGGAGACCACCCGTACACATCGCCCAATTGATCAATTTTCGTCAGCCATTTTTCTATGTTACAGTCTGGACTGTCAGGGTCAAATTGGTCGATGATTTCGGCTCCCACCGAAAATTCCATACGCGCCCTTTTTGTTGCGACGAATTCGCCCTGTAAATCGCCACTGTAGTCCCCGGTACTTCTTGGGGTAGATGCAGCCTCGCCTGATGTCGTAGGTACCGCCATAGACGCCATTTGGCCAGTTTCGCGCCCCCTAACTGCCACACCCAGTTGTTGTGCCGTTGAATTGGCAGCACTGGCGTTACTTGCAAAAAATAGAGCCGCCTGCTCTTTGATGATTTTGCCTACCTGAGTCGCCAATTTCTCGCCAAAAACTTCCTCCACGATTTTCCGAACTTGTGTTCGATCCATCTGACGTTCGTGCTCGCCTTTTGCACTCCCGTCGTCAAGATCGCTCGCCTCGAAATCTAATGCGTCGCAATCTGCAAGATCCGCCATTTTGTACGCGTCGCCTTTTCTTCAATTCACTTTCACCGCACCAGACACTGATTCAGATGCCGATCCAGATCCCACTTCTGATTTGTTACACACACAGTTTCAATTCCAAAACGCCTTTATTCAATTTTATTATTTCACAATAAATAAGTCGCCCTTCGATATGACCCGTGCCACTCCTCGGTTCCGACTTCCTCGCTCTCGCCTTCTGCGCCGCTCGCGTAACATCACGTGACGTCCCCCGATGTGTCACATGACTGAAGGTCGCGCCCAGAGTCCCGCCAGAATTTTGTGATGTAACAATTATCATTTCCATCATCACCATCATCATCATCATCATCGTCATAGTACAAATCATTTTTATTTGTTAATTTAATCGTCGTTTTAAATTTCTTCGTCGCAATGATGGTTCTGAGTTTATATTTGAGGTTTTTCTTTTTGGTTGTGCTGCTGCTGCTGGTGTTGATGTAAAAGATGCTACATCTTTTTCTTCTAATTTTTCCTCTTTCTCAAATTTTGATTGTAATTGATGCATTTGTTGTTCTGGTTGTTGTTCTTGTAGTTGTTGTTTTATAAGTTTTTTATCGTCCCTAATCGCTATAACATAAATATTTTGCAAATGTCTTGTTATTGGTGATAAAGTCTTTTCATGTATAAATTCATCTCGTTTCAGTTGACCAACTTTATCGGCAATTATTTTTCGTTTTGCAATAAGTTTTCTTTTTAATTCTTTTTGATGTAACAACTGCTTATTAATAATTACTTTCTTCTTCATTTTTATATTTTCACTTAGAACAGGTTAAAGAAACCGCTTAAACAGGGGTGTTGGACTGATCTGATCTGGTCTTAAACTGCTTGAAACAGGTTCTAAACAGGTATTGAACGGGTCTAATCAGGTTTTAAACTGCTTGTAACAGGTTTTATGGATAATCAGTAGTTAGTTGGATGAGTGTAGTAGTTAAAATAAATATGATTAAAGTAGTTAAGAATTGAAATGAATATAATGATCGAAACCTTGACGATATCTACCTTCATTAAGATTATTATCTTTAAATATAGACAGAAATCCATAAGATAGTTTCCAACACATTAAACAGATATCATGAAATTGAAAATGAAAGTCATATCAGTACTAATATGGTCGTTATAGATGTGTTTCAGATTTAATTCATCTTGTTTAAATATAACAAATGAATTGGCATTGTCACGCAATAAATGTTTAGGAATTTTAGGATATGTTTGACACAAATAAAAACAATCAATCTTATTGTGTCATACTGAAATATTCTCGCATTACATCTTGTTTATCACATGCCACATCATCAAATATGAAAATTGAATGAGGTTTTGCTTTGGAGGGACTTATCAAATTCTCACTATTTGAATAAGCATAATATCCAATATCTTTGATGGGTTTCAATAAGTTCTCTAAATACTCATATTTAGGTTGATAAAGGCTTTTTGAATAAACATAAACGTTCTCAAACTTTAAGCTGTTTGGATGTTCAATTAGACTTATAATAACATTGGTTTTACCACAATTTGATGGACCAATTACTAAACACCTTATAGTTGTGGGAAACAATACACTATGTTTTACTTGTTTTTCTTCTACAAAATCATTATTTTCAACATTTAACGAGGTTTTTTGTTTTATAACTTTCATTGCTATTAGTCTTCTTTTTTCGGTTTAATATTACTATGTTTTTAGGATTGAAGTAGAAACGCAAATGACTTCATGATAGCATATAATTACATTAATACCATAACATACTTCAACAAAAAAAGTTAGAGTAGCCGAGAATCAAACCTGTATCCTAAAGATTAGTAACATGTAAACTTACCTGGTTCGGCTAGCTTAACTTTTGTTATTGCTTACAAAAATAAACTAGTTAAATGAGTTTTTTTCTTAATTTTAATTATTAATTACGAACAGGTGATATAAATATAAAGTAAAAAAAGTATATTTATATAGTAATTTTATTTCTACATTATTAAAGACTTTGAATTATAAAGTAAGGTAGAGACATTAATTTAGATAATAAGGTAAAACATTTATCACCTAACAATTTAAAATGATATTGTCCAGTATATCGTATACAATTTCTTCCTTCAATATTTGTTTCTCCCTTACATTTAGGATAAATAAATTTCACTGGTATAAACATTTTATTTTTTACAATATTTGTTCCAGTTACACAAATTAAATACATTTTCTAGACTACAGCTCAAATTATTATTATAATGTTTAAAACAATGGTACGACTTAAAAATATTTTTCAATTGTTGATAATTTAGACAAGAGGGATCTTCTTCATTAATATCCAAAACCTTAACTTTATTTTCCAATAATTTTTGCACCAGTGTTTTCTGTTCAATTCCTTTTACAAAAATTTCACTTGTAATAATTGGCGCTGCTGTTGCTGATGAATTTAACGATGATACACCATCTACTGTATCCCATCCACCATCTTCATACTTACTGGTACTAGTACATTTACAATTAACACCATTATGTTCTTGAATAAATGACAAGAGAAATTGCGAAATGTTTTCATAGGGCAAACTTTCTAAGTAATTGTCCCATGGTAAACCATGTAGATGTTCAGTTAACCAATTAATTTGTTTTTTCATTGAATAATTAAAAATTTCTTCTGTACACGGTGCCTTAACTATAGCATGTGCAAATGCCTCGTTACAGGTGTTGATAATGGCGATTTCTTTGCAAATAAAATTAGAAGTTCCATACTGGAATCCTTGAATATCGATGAAAAACATTTTCTTTAACAGTTTACACAAGACGAACTACACCGGTTAGAGGTAAGTAACTGACAAACTGTTCTTGAATAACTAAACAAAATGCTGCTGTTCGTTTAGATATAACATCAGTAGTTTCAAATTCTAACCGTGCATCTACAGCGCCAGTTTTAACCTCTTCATTTTGATGAGAACAATCGATAACAATAAAAGGTGCTACTGATTTGTATTGAGTTGGCTTCAATAGAGGTTCACATATAGGTTTTTTATTAAAATAATATAACTGTTGAAATTGAGCATACATATTGTAAGCCAAAGCAAACTCATTAGTTGCAAACTTTAAATTAAGATTTTCATACGGATATGAATCTGAATTTAAAAATAATTTAACATTTCTCAAATTACAATGATCAAATTTACTTGCATCTGCTTTTAGATTGTCATGTCTGTCTGTAAACCAAATATTACAAATCGTGGGTTTTCAAGAAACGATGATAATTTCAATACCCATGTAAAGTTTGTTCCTTCTTGTAATAGTGGATAATGAAATAATTCCCATCTTCGAAAAAGTAATGGTAAAGGAATATTTTTTTCAATTATATTAAACAATTTTAACTTTTGAGCGTCATTCACTTTTACATGTGGAATTTTCCATGAAATTTTTGAAAGCCTAATATCTTCTTTCTCTTCACCGGTTGCTTCTATTGTTGCATTTAAATCAGCACTTGCACGAATAAGTACTAATTCTTGGCGTACATTAAGTAGTATTTTTTTATAATCTTCAGCAAAGCCAAAAATCATTGAAAGTGGCCAACAAACTTCAAAATTCCCAGTTCTTTCATCAAAACTTTGCATATCATTAAATGGAATCCAACTTGCGTACATAAGCGATGTACTCTCGCTTGGTGTAAACGATACATAACTTTTCATAGTTGTAGTAATACCAGGATTTGTAATACGATCAATAACAATACCTCCCAATTCATATGGTATTTCAGAAAATAAATGTGCAACAAAATTATTAATTAATTTACATTTCGTAACAACACCACGTGTAGGATCGTGTTTTCTTAGAGTTCCTTGAATTTGTAGAAAGCTCTTTGACGGCACTGTTAGTAAATCTTGTTGTTGAATTCTAATCCTACATTCATCGTTATGTTTTAACTCATCACTCATGTACGATTGATAAGAATGTATTTCAATACCTGTTATAGAATCATCTGATATCACTTTTTATTTACTCTCAAAATATCCATTCTTTTCTTAGTTGTCTCTCTTCTTTACTTTTAAACCAATCGTTTGAAGAAATGCTCTATTTTCAGATGTTAACTGTAGCAATTCTTTTCTCTTACTAATGTTACTCCTGGAACCTTTGAACTTATAAGCACTTTCTACTTCGTTGTAATTGTTGTTGTTGAAAGTAGACACATTAAATAAAAGTACCATACTGTTTGTTAAGTAACTTTCTTCAAATGTAATGTAATTGATATTACTTCTTTTTGAAAAGAAACAGGGTTACCGTTTTGGTCAAAAATTTCAAGTCTAATATTACTAATCACGTGTGTATTTATTGGTAAATAGATAACAGTTGAAGGACTTTCAATAATTTTGTAACCTGGTGGTTGAGTTAGATAAAATGAGTGAATCGTATGAACAAAACTACCGTTTTTATATGAATTCTTTACGATACTACATTCAATTCTTATAATATTCACGCGCATTATATCAACAGGAAAATCTGACTCGTGTAATTTATTGGCTTCTAATTTTCTTTTAGAAAATCCTAGCAATTGTCCAATTGAATTGTTTTTACTAAAATCAATTGACTTCATACATTTGATTGCACATTTTAACGTATTGAGATTTGCTTTTAGTACCAACGTTGTTTTTTCCGTTTCTTCTTTGTTATGAGATTCCAATGTGTTTTTTAAATAAACACTTATATCAGAAATTTCATAACTACCTGTTGGTATTTCAATTACTTTATTCTTTCCATAATGAAATTTATTGTTTCTTTTATCAACATTTGGTATTGCATTATTACAACTCAAATTAATTAATCCAATTTCATAATTTTCTTTTTCATCTAATATAATTGGAGGATTAAAATTGGCACTTAACACTGAAGTTTCTTCACCAGTAAAAAACAAGAGACTCATGTTGTTCTCTTTTTCAGGATGTATTAAGAACTAAATTAAAACAATAACATGTAAGATTATGATTTATTTTCTAATTTACTATTACAT